GTAATATTTTTTCCAGAAATATATTGCTAGTAATATTTTTTCCAGAAATGCATTGCTGGTAATATTTTTTCCAGAAATGCATTGCTGGTAATATTTTTTCCAGAAATGCAATGCTGGTAATATTTTTTCCAGAAATGTATTGCTGGTAATATTTCTTCCAGAAATGCATTGCTGGTAATATTTTTTTCCAGAAATGCATTGCTGGTAATATTTTTTCCAAAAATGTATTGCTGGTAACATTTCTTCCAAAAATGTATTTCTGTTAATTTTTTTTTTTTTTTTTTCAAAAATGCATTGCCAGTAATATTTTTCCAAAAATTTATTTCTGGTAATATTTTTTCCAAAACTGTATTGCTGGTAATATTTTTACAATAATCTATTGCTGGTATTAAAATCCTTTTTTTAACACTTTCATCGTGTTTTGACCCCAGTTTGGTGCGGGTAACTATTTGCCCATAATTCGGACCCTAACAGGATCTACCACCAGCAATTAGGAGATGGTTCCACGCTCCTCAAAACATCCTATCAGAGCTCTTGCTGACGGATGTAGTTTATCGTCTTACCCAGGACGGATTATTTAAAGCACATCATGTTAAAAATACTTAAATGTAAATTATTCTTGTGTTACTCAAAATAATGTTGTTTCTTGTCTGCTATTCATATTCTGACAATTATTTCAGTGTTAATTTCATCTGGTAAATTTAGCAATAATCATTGGTCAGAAGTCATATACACAACAACCAGTTTGTTGGTTAAGAATTTATAAAAAGGATAAAAGTATTAATAAGATGTGTATAAAAGTCGTTATTATCATGATAAGGATGTTTTAGATAAGTAAATCAAATCTTTCATTCACTTAAACATTTGAACGTTTTTGAATTTCTTATACCAAGCTCATCAGGTGTTTGAACTTTCATCTTTTTCTGCTCCAACAATTCAAATTGTTCTAGAGAGAAGGAAAGATTATGACTAAACACCAAATTTGTCATTATTATTTATTTTCGCAATCAGGAAAGGAGGGATTATCAATGGTCAGGAATTAATGTAAGCATTATTATCAGATTAAGATTATTACATGCATAATATAAATGCATTGCTAATGATTTTACTCGAGAAATTCATTAAAAATTATGAATACAGGGATTGTCAGTGATCAGGAACTAAAGCAAACGTTACTAACAGAATTAACTCGGACACTTAAGGCGGAGAATATAAAATGCTAAACGATTTTTTAAAAGCCATTCATTTTCTTCATCCTTTTAGCCTTGATCAATGCCAGCTGGAGAAAATAATGTAAGATTTAATTATTTTAAACACACCCAAAACGCATAGATGTACAACACATTTTTCGTTATCCATCTGCTGAAGCCATATTGGCGTAGCGCATTATCGAATATTATTTTCGAAACATATGTTCTTCCAAATTTCAATAACATAACAGAATAAGGCTATAAAGTTGTTATATACCGTACCTATGAACACTAATGAGCATGTACCAATCCCCATAAATAAGTTGGACAATATTTTAAGTGGAGGTAATATGCTGTATAAGTAGTCCATTACTAGCAGTGGTTTACCTACTTCACGCCGCTGGCGAGTATTGTATTTTGTTGATGTTATAAAGATTGCCATTTCATTTCCAACCTCCGTTTTAGTTATTCTTCATTCAGTAACCCTTTCTAGGTTACAACAAAGGTTATTACATGCATTATGAGATGCATCGCTAATTATTTTTGCTATAGTATGCCTAGCCGCTTGTATCCAAGTACGTCTGCCTAATGGGGTAGCTAGCTAATCCCTGTTGAAAACGTTTGCTTAGACATATATCTGTTTGTTCATCACGCACATAACCAAAATGTGGTTTATACTGCAACTATATTGTGCGTACCTTTCTGGGAAATAACGCATAATCTGACTTGATCGACAGTTGGAAGAAGGTCAGTACGCTCAAATGCTCGCTCACGATGACTTGTAGCTTCGTGTTAATACAACCATCCTCGAATTTCTAAAAGCTTCGTCTGTCCAATTTCAATCACGAGGTTTTGGGTCAAACCGTGGTATGGTTAGTCATCCACTTCCTAAAGGCGTCACTGGGATCGTCTCCCAAGGCCATTATTATCAAAAAGTCACCTCCTTGAAAAATCGACCATTAGGTTTAACAGATTTAGCAAAACGTAAATACAATTCACCCGATGCAAATTTAAATTCAAATGATTTTTAACTTGCATCCATAGAATCAGTTGAAACAAGGAATATTAGATTTTAAACCGATTGACCTGTATTTGTATTTGACAAATCAGCTCATCGAAATTATTCAAAAAGTGTAATCTTTTATTGAACTTTTAGAAAATACTTTTAGTAGACATTACTGACCGTAATTAGATCAAGTCAGGATCGTGACGTTATGGCCAGACGAAAGATACACAATGGCTGCCTGACCGGAGGCAAAAAAAAAAACAGATCCTCTGGGAAGAAGAATTGTGGTTGACAGAACAAATAATGGAAAAGAGCTGTTCATATCAGCAAAACAGACACAAGGTGTGAGTATGACACATAAAATGGCCCAGACGGTTTCAAAAATGGGCATTATCCGTTTTCAGCTGCACTTGAAGCTCCAAGAAACCGCCTACCGAAGATACAACAGAGGTTTGATGCGGTGTACACCAACGTACCATTTTAAACCAACATTTTAAAAAGTAAAATCTGTCCTTGAAAAAAACACTCGATTGTTTGAAAATTTCAGTGTCTTGTGGTGTGCATTGAAAAATGGTCTCACGGGGAGAAATATGCAATATAACAATTAATCTTAAAGCTATAAAAGCTAGAATAAAATTACTAACAATTCACTAACCTTTTAGAGAAAAGATCATGCAGCGTCTTTAAAATGCAGACTAATTTCTACACAATCTTCATTCTTTGATAGCTTTATTGTGTGTGGCCGGAAGAATTTGACTATTTCTCGTATCACATCTGCTCCAGTAGACTTGTAAAATCCCTAAAAGAAATAGAAATTCCTTTAATATTGAATGTTCAAAAGGTTTTAGAACAGTTAAATTAGATCTTCTCTCATAACACAGTTTAAAAATAAAGCTTTGAGAAAAAGCATAAAAATGAAAAAGAATAAAATATAACGTGGGAGATTTGAGAAATTTATTTGACAAGGAAAAATTCGATTTTTTGATAGATTTCTGGGATGATAAGTTATCATTATCTACAATGTTTATATTCGGACTATTATCCTCATCTTTGTTGTTGCTTTTATCATATCGTTTCGGTCGTTATGTTCTCCATATTTCCACGGGCATATACTGATTTGGGCCACCTACAGTAAATTCTGAACTGAACTTCTTATTTTAAAGATAAAAGCGAAAAAGGTTTTTTTAAATATAAAAACATGAAATATCTGTATTTTCATGTTTTTTACAACTAAGTTTTTCTTAGTGTGTATGAGTGTTAAAGTTTTGATAGCCCTTGTTTGTAGATGTTTGTTGAGATGAAAAACGTAATTTCTTTGTGTGTATGTATCAGAAAGAAGAGGCAAGAGAGATAGAGAAGAGGAAAGTGTAAGTGTCACGTAAGTTGGAGAGGAAGACGAGTTAGAATTTCATTAGAAACAAGGAATAAGTTATAAACTGCTATGAAATCCCAATCTACCCATATACCAGTGAATGCTGGACACTCTCCTCTCAGATGAAAAGCAAATATGAGAAGTGGTTCTACAGAAGGATGCTGAGACTACCATCAACGGAACAAATAAGTTTTAGGGAAAATAGGAATTAAAAGGACAAATGTACATAGGATCATAAAGAGACTGTTGAAATTTCTGGACGCATAATGAGGAAAGAAGGTTTAGGAATTTGACACGCTCAGGACATATTGAGAGCAAAAAGGACAGGTGGGAAACAATTACCAACCTAATGATCTTGTGGTAATACATGGATTAGGAAAGATAGTAAAGAAACAAACATTACTTAGAGCTACAAAAGATGAGAAGATGTGGAAAGTCATTACCTTCACGTTCTGAAGGGACACGTCAAGAAGAAGAATTTGAAATAAAATATTATTGCTGCATAAGAATTATATACTAAAATATTATTAGTATTACGTAAAACAGTTTCAATTAGAAGAGAGAGGTAACCTGTATTACTCACATCTGGCAAACATATGAAGGAAACGACCACTGTTTTTGATATTTTTAACCGTTTCCAGACAAATTTTATTTCTGGTAAAATAATATCAAAGCAATTGAGTATAGATATTATCATTTCATGGCGCACAAAATACATCACTTGAATGTTTGGTTATCTATGGTTTGAAAAGATCTCTGTATTGTCTTTTATTATTTTATTAGCCAGAATATGAGTCCTTATGCAATGAAAAGCTTCGGCAAAATCTAAAGTATATATTAATGAAAAATCAAAAGAAAAACAGAATTTTAAATACTAATTTTTTAGACATTTCTCACTCGGAAAATTGGCACAAAACAATCTTCATATGAAAAAATAAAACTTGAATAATTTATTATTTTTGCTGAATCTTTTTCAAAAACCAATTCATATTCTGCAATGAGAAAACATAGATTCAAATTGAGAATTAAATGGCGATTCTAATCATGTCTATCAAGATTTCCAAGTATAGGCAAGTGATAATTTTCTACTTTGTTTAAATTAGTACAAAAACATTTTAAACATTTTTTTAAATCTAAAAGTTAATTTCTTTTGCTTGTTTATTTATTTATTTATCTTCTTTACTTCAAGAAATGGTTGATTTTTTTTTTCGCTTCTTGACTTTATTTCAGTGTTTGTTTGTTTTTTTCTTCGCCTGAAGGTGTTGCAGAGGGGAAAAAATGCGCGCAGCATCCACTTTCGTGGAGACAAAAATAAGCGACATCATTAAAACGAAGACAAAATAATATGAAATGTGATGCTAAGGGAGTGTAGTTCGCTCTGATGTTTGCTGCAACAATTGCAAATAGCTGCTTGTCTGGGAGATTCGATTTTTCAAAAATAGGTAGGCAGACAGAAAGAAAAAGATGTTGAGAAAGAAGCAAATAGATAGATAGATAGATAGATAGATAGACAGACAGACAGACAGACAGATAGATAGATAGATAGATAGATAGATAGATAGATAGATGAAAAGTCTAATAGAGGAATGTCGTGTGGAAAAATTGAAGAGAAGCTGCCTATATTATCATTTCATGTGGCAAATGTGCCACTGAAAATTAGATATTTGAAGGATCAACGCGACAGTTCATAGCTTCCTCAACTTTCGAATACTCACCAAAAAGATGACTCAATTCCTCGAAGCCTTTGTGGAGTTATTCGCTATTATTTAATACTATTATTAAATTCATAAGATAATATATAATTTATAATAAATATTAATAATACACCCTTTTGCAAATTAATTGAAACAACCACTTTAGTTTTCTTTCTTTCCCCATACGGTCAGTTTTAGACCCACTGGAGTGACAGGGTGTAATTGATTTCTATTTGTTCCTCAGATTAGGTCATTTGCAGTGGTGTGCAGTAATATGAATCTATTTTCGGAGTGTATGATGAAATTTGTTTGGCCTTGAAAAATATTGGGTCATCCGTACACTCCAAAGAAAAATCGTAACACTGCTATCAGTCCTATAGATTGTCCCAGAAACTCTCCTGATTTAAATCCAATCATGAATCTGTAGACAATCTGCAAGGAACGACTTCGTAGTACTAACAAAGTACTAACATGGCTCATGTTTCATTGGAAAAATGCGAAAAAAAATAACGAAATTTTACGTTTTGTTTCAATTAATTTGCACAAGAGTGTACTATTAAACACTGGGCAGGGGCTTCTAAAACACGTAATGTATATAAATGTATGTAAATACATACATTACGCTCCAAATATTGTCATAGCCGATGGCAATAGTGGGGGCATGTTCCCACTGTCTATAAAATGCTTTTATTAGCATGCGTCGCAAATAGCCTCTGACAAGTAAGTCCAGTTCCAATGGACAAAGGTGGAAAATTGGCGCCTCATAATCAGCTGCTTCAGGTAGATAGGCCTCGTCATCTCACGAAGTCCATGTAGGAGGAGAAAAATCCTGATTTTAAACCTCCGCTGCCTTGCGGTCATATCCAAAACAAGGAAAAGGTATATCCATACAGAAAACTCGGATTGCAGCCCTAAAGACGGTTGGCTATCAACATTGACAACTTACCGGCAACTCCTGCAGCCAAGCCGGCCACGAATATAAAAACCAAGTCGATATGGCCGAGAGAGTGGGTGCATGCAGTCTGGGTAACGCACGGCCATCATATACCATCGCCAGTCTAGGAAAAGAAAAACTGTTATCGAGCTGTTATCTTGTCTTCTGTAATGAGATACGGGGTAATCTCAATATCTCTGGTTCATTATTCTGCCTTGAATGTCACCACGAACCACAATTATGAGATGGAAGGGAGTGGTGACCACAGCGGTGGCGCAAAATGGTCTAACTAAATACATGAACGAATGAATGATTTAAGTACTAGATAGAGTGCATCAGCTTATTGTTGCTTTCTATCCAAATAGTTTAGGTCAATTACTAATATCTTAAGACTAGTTTTATTCAAACTTATTACTCACTAATTTCTCTTTCGCTGACCGTTACACTTCTTCTTTTATGTGCTGCTTCCCTTCAGGACGTAGGCGATTATGACTCTCCATCGCATCCTGTCCCTTGAAATTCATAACAATGGATAAAACAAATATTGGTGCATTATTTACATTATTCGAACTATTGTCCTCATCTTTGTCGCCATATTTATCACAACGTTTCGGCCGTTGTACGCTCCGGCCTTCTTCAGGTGGTTGGAATGCCGAACTGAACCCTTTATTTCGCTCACCGGAGTAGACTGTTCTAGTTCCACGTGCCATGTTTAAAGGGTGTCAGTTATCAGTTATCTCCTGTTAATTTCCCTCTGAAAGTTCTCCACTGCCTTAACCGGGTATTGAACTCACACTCTTTGGGTCCTGTCACTGGATTAAACTAACGCCTTTATCCACTGTGCCAGGATAGGATAGCTGTGTATGAATTTCTGAGTATTGTAAACCTAATGTCTTCAGCAAACATTTTTACCAGTGCTTATATTGCAAACAATTTTTACCAGTGTTCATATTGCAAATTTTACTGTTATCAATATATCTTTTTACCAGAGCTCATATTGCAATTTTTGTTGTTATTATCGCTTTTCTTTGGCACTCCTTATTACTGGTTCCCATACTGTATTCATTTCTATGCTTGGTCGGCTCAGGAGATTTTTGTGGCCTAGCATATGTGCTGATTTTTTAAGTTTACGAATTTTCCAATGGTGTTCTTTGTCTATGATCTCAACCTGAACCCACAGTTCAACATTCCAACCACCTGAAGAAGGCCGGAACGTACAACGGCCGAAATGTTGTAATAAATATGGCGACAAAGATGAGGACAATAGTCTGAATAATGTACATAATACCTCATCTCAGAAATATAGACAGATACAAATATTGGTGATTAGCTGAATTTGGATCTAAAAGTTTCATTGATCGGAAATATTAGTCACGTTGGTCGATCATTAATATTTATCGCTGAATCATGTGTCTGAGTACGTTTATCTTTTCGTTCAATTATGTCAGCTGGAGTGAAACCTACATATTACGTGTGCATATCCACTGAAACGTGTACAGAGTCTACAAAATTTTCCACCGAAAGCCAATCAAAACACAAAATTTTACACCGAATTTCTCTTCGCTAACCGGAGCAAGTATTTCATATTAAAATGACGACCAAATCTCAGTAAAGCAAAATATTTAAGCGAATGAAAGTCAATCAAAACACAATCAGACATTTTCTAAACGGCGAGCAATTAACGTTTAATGATATTTTTAAAGAAAATTCTCAAAATGGATTTCATTTGAAAGAAATACGCAGTTTATTGAATTATTCATCGAAAATTTCTGAAGTTGTGACAACGTTTAATCTCTCCGGTGAAAACGTTTGATTCAATTATATAATATTTTAGACGCATTTGCCATCTTAGACTTTGCAATATTGCTATGAATATTCCCACTCCCTGAGATCTAGGGCGTCTCTTTTTTTTAATTTAGATGAACATGGCTACTCTGAAATCTGATATAGTCATAATTTTTAGGAAATGTTAATAATTTATTGAAAATTCATTATCTACTATAATTTGTTTGGACCGTTGAATTCATTCTCTGTGTTGGCCTCCGTTCATTATAGAACACGATGAAGGCTGTAGAAAGGATATGCCGAGAATTATAGTAACAACGTCCGTATAAGCGATGGATTTGATATTTTTTATTCAAAGACAAAAATTTATTGATATTAATTTATGAAAATTAATTTGCCTTTTATCTTTATTTTTGTCATTACAGATTCTGAATTTTTTCATATTTTTTAAATTCACGTTCCGTTCTACCATATACTTTTAATGTTGTGAATTTTCATATTTTCATATTGAGACGCATATCAAAGCAAACTGAACACAACTAGAGTCTTCCAGAATGTTGAATATATATATAATATATATATATATATATATATATATATATATATATATATATATATATATATATATATATATTTATATTTAGAAATTTTCATTGATTCATGTTTCATTAAATAATATAGACAAGTTTTGTCTATTTATTTTAAATAAGTTCCTTTATTATTGTTTTATAAGCTTAATAACATTATCATCGAAAGACGAAAGGAAATCAGCATATTGATACATAGTTAAATCCAATCAAAGCTTCCGGCTTACACAAGCCATTATCAAAGATGTCAATTACTTTTCAATATATCAACCAATACACGGATGAAACAATAATGATACACGGATGAAACAATAATGATAGTCTGTTTTTGTTGCATGAAAAATTTCAAAGCAACGACTAACTCGTGTATACGAGACGCGGAAGCGAAAATCCCGTTGCAGCTCCTGACGTCACACATGACCACGCGAGATTGAAAACGAGAAGTATTAAGTATGGGAAACCGTTGGTATAAACCAATGTCTTCTGTTATCAATTATAGACATTTAAGAATGTTTGTGGAGATTTCGTAGTTTATTTTGTTCAGGTTAGGTTTCAATTGTTTTATATATATAGCTTCAAGAATTTTTAGTTTTTGTTTATTGTTTTCATGTTTAAGTATAGTTGTGTTTTCAACAAGGATTTTCCGGAATTAAGTGTGCGGCCGGGCTTGTTGTTTTAAATGCCTAAAAATGTTAGAGTTATCATTCAAATGTAGAGTCAAGCATCGTGAAAGCGAGTTTGTAGTGTGACCAACATAAATATTATTTAATCCATTGGAGATACAATCACACAAAGGGTACTTGAATTTGTAAACTATGTTGGTTTTTCGCAAATTGCTAACGGGGAGGTGGGGAAGAATCATTGCGAACAATTAAGCTGGATATACTAGATTTAGTGTAGTATATGATTAACCTAATTTTTTGCTAGGGCCTGTTGTATATATATTAGTATTTACTAATTTTTTTAGTATATTTTCATCTTGTTTATAATTAGTATGCATTTGACTACGATAAAAGAGATTAATATGTTTGGGATTAGTTGAAGCAGTATTATGTTCTATTTGCCTAGTATTAAGACTTCTAAGAAAGCATCTTATTTGTTCATCAACTATATAGTTTGGAAAGCTATTATTAATAAGTGTTTGTTTTATATTCTTTAGTTCACTGTAAAAAATCTGTTTTGTAGACGAATTAGTTTCTGCACGATGTATTAGATTCTTTATAATTGCTATTTTGTAGTAATATGAACATTCGCTTTTGTAGTTAAGTGCACATGAATTTATGCTGGTAGGTTTTTTTGTATGGCGAAATAGTAAATTTGTTATCATTTGTGTTTATCAATATGTCAAGGAAGGGAATTTTATTATTAGTATTGAGTTCATATGTGAATTTAAGGACAGAATTATCTTGCAAACGTTTTTGAAGTTGAAGTATTTCATCTGTATTTTTAACTAACATAAGGATATCATCAATATATCTTAGATAGATGGAAGGTTTTTTAACCTCAGTAAATAACTTATTTTCGAGGTTCGTCATGTAGAAATTGCTAAATGTCGGACCCAGTACTGAACCCATGGAGACACCATCACGTTGTATATATATATATATTATTACTATGATCTAAGAAAGGGACATCAGTAGTACAAGCTAATAGTAGTTTCCGTAATATATTCGGATTAATTTTAAGTGGTATTGGATTTAAGCATGTATCAATATGGTGATTTCCTTTCGTCCTTCAATGATAATGTTATTAAGCTTATAAGACAATATGAAAGGAACTTACTTAAAATAGACAAAACTTGTCTATATTATTTAATGAAACATGCATCAATGAAACATTGCTGCCAAAATATACACAATATACACACACACACACAACACACATATATATATATATATATATATATATATATATAGTCCTCGATACTTAGGAAAAACAAAAGCCAACTAAGGTATTAACAATAATACGTACTAAGTGAACCCATACCCATATCTTAAAGCAAGCGTTACAAAATTGGGCGCGTTTTTAACATAGAAATTTAAGATATAAACAAACTGGATAAGACAGATTGCATTATTTACGTTATAGGGACTGTTATCCTCATTGCCATATTCACAACGTCTCGGCCTTCTTCAGATGATTGGAATTTCGAACCGAAATTTATTTATTTCGTTCTAGTTCCACGTACGGATCCCTCAGTTATTTCCCTTTAACTCAACTCTCCAAGTTTTGGTTCATCACTGCTGTGGACCAGTATTGAACTCACAACTCTTTGGGTCTAGTTACTGGATCTAACTAACGTATTTATCATTGTGCCCTTGAAGATATCTGTGTATGAATTTTTGGCACTTATAAATCTAAAATCTCAGCAACTGTTTTTACCAGTGCTCATATTGCAATATTTTGTTATTATTATTGCTATTTTACTAAAGCTTATAGTGCAAATTTTTGTTGTTATTCACTGCTTTTCTCTAGCACCCCTTATTACTGCTTCCCATATTGTATTCATTTCTATGCTTGGTTGACTCAGGCAATATTCCTTAATTTTTCGTATTTCCCAGTGATACTCTCTGTCTATTATTCCAACCTCATCCCACAGGATGCGGTAATCTTTCTTTTCCCTTCACATGTGGTCAGCTACGCCTGATTTTTATATTTCTTCTTGTTACCACTTTCTTAACACAGCTGCACGGGATGGCGTACACGCAGTTCTTAGTCATGTTCATCTCTATGGGAAGGTTTTACACCGAAGAGGTGGCTGCGAAGTATTGAACCACTTTTAAAGGTTGTCCTGATGTTATATGGAGCACAGATCCATTGTATTTTCTCCAATAATCCTTTCACATAAGGTAAGCAGACAGGAGCTAAGTGCTGTTATCCTCTTGTACCCTTCTATCCTAGTTTGTTGGAGCTGCTGCCATCTAGTCAGAGCAGTTGTTACGTTGTAGGGTACTGCTTATACTGAACATTTCTTGTTCATATGTCTCTGGTCACCACTTTTGATCTATTTTGTAAGCAGCGGACGATCCCTTACTTTCTTCCACTATCCATACAGTGTAAAGAACGAAATAAAGGGTTCAATTCGAAACTACAATCACCTGGAAAAGGCCGAAGTGAACAACGGCCGAAATCTTGTGAATATGGAAATGAAGATGAGTATAACAATCCGAATAATGTAAATAATGCAAGTAATCGTAATACCTCGTCTCAGATAGATAGATAGATAGATAGATAGATATAGATAGATAGATATAAACAGACTGTGATAGATAGATAGATAGATAGATAGATAGATAGATAGATAGATAGATATAAACAGATAAAATAGATGATAGATAGATAGATAGATAGATAGATAGATAGATAGATATAAACAGACTGTGATAGATAGATAGATACATAGATAGATAGATATAAACAGACTGTGATAGATAGATAGATACATAGATAGATAGATAGATAGGAAAATAAGGAAATAATTTTCAAGCATAGCTCTACAAAGTTAAATAATCTTGTTTTCTTTGAAGCTGAAAGAAATAAGTTATAAAGTTCAAGCGAAAGAAAACTTTTTTACAACACAAAAGAAATGAATTGTGTTAGTATACATTGGTGCATATGTGTGAGATTGTCATGGAAGAATTCAAAATCTACGTTATGTTATGTGTGCCTTGCGTAAATATAGCAGCGGACAGTCATCTCATATCAACGCAAATACAGCTAATAACAACTTTATCAAAGAGGGCACCTCGATGAGGTGTAAGGGTTAGCAAGCTTGCCTAGCTAGAATAATTACGAATGAGTAGTGAGCTCGATCCTCACTGGGTACCTCATGCTTCCGGTCTCGTGCCACATCTAGGCTACACTAGATATATATATTGCCATATCTTTATCAAAGGCATCTGGGCGAAAATAAATACAACGGCCTTTAATCCGAATTTGTATACGCTACGCTTTCCGGGCCGGTAACCACTACGCCCCGCCCCCATGCATGATGTTAGTGATTAGCAATATCTAATAAAGCATTTCTTTTAATTTCTGTGTTTGCGTATAATTCAAATTCCTCTGTCATCTTCACGTTCTGCTTTCGATTTCTTTGCGAGGATTTTAATTAACCTACAAACTTTACATTTTTTTTTGTTTGTTTTGTTTTTTCTTTTTTTGATGGCTTCTGCAACATTTTAATGTCTTTCTGCTTTTCTCAGATGTTCTCCTTCTTTCGATCCTTTTAACTTTTTCCCTGCTCTTTATCAACCCATTTCATGCCTCTGCCTTTTCTTTCTCATTGTACACTTTATCTTCAAAACGTTTCTTCTTTTTTATTCATATTTTCTTCATCTTTCTTTCTTTCTCTTCATTGGCATAATTCTATATATTCTTTCTTTCATTCTTTCCTTCTGTCTTTCTGACAAAAACAAGACAGAAATTTAATCTAACCAAAACCGTTATTATTGCTGGAGCTATTGCAACGAAGCGCTCTTTCAGTTTGCAATTTTCCTATCGATTTGTGTAAAAATATTAAAAGTCCGTATATGAAAAGAATATAGAAAAGTTTTCAATTTTCATATTAGCAATACATCGGGGAATTTTTGTTCAACCATTCGGTAAATTCATTAACAAGAATATTTAAACTTAGGAAAATAAATGGATCATTCTTTACAGGAAGATGAAAGAAAATAAGAATTCTTGGAAATTTGGTAATCTGCAAATCTTCATCAGTCTTTTGCTTTTATTTTCTCGTTTCTCATTATCTGCTATTTTTCTTTCTTTTTTTTCTTTAAAATATACTTGTCGATAGAATTTTCGAGAATTCCAACAATTCTCTTCAAAATATTACCATAGCAACGTTTCATTTTGTCTCGACTTTTCATATTTTTATTTTTAATTACACAATTTGTAATTATTATCAATTGTGACGTCCCTAAACACAGCCTTCGCTCGCTCCTCGCTGCTTCGTTCGGGTGTCGCCGCTCCAAACGTGACGTCCGCCTGTCACGTCAGTCGTGTTGTCTCGTCCTGTGACGACCAACTGGCTTGGTATCGGTCGCGGCACCCAAATGTGACGTTCTAACCTTTTGGTGACTCGGATGGGAATCTGGTTAGATTCGATATCAGCCTCGTCGTTCTCAATTCGCTTCCAACGTCTGGTTACCAAAGTAACTGCGTTGATCTCCAGTCTGCCTACCCACGTTGTGAATTGATCTTAGGCAGACGAAATCAATCAGTCGTCAGGGCCATAATGCAAGTTGGGTCCAAGCGGGGGTGGTATCGCACAAATATGTATAAAAGAAAATAAAATGATAACTCAAAAGTTCAAGGTATCAAAAAAAAGGATAAGAAACTTTATGTCTAGTTGCTGGATACATAGGACTGCGTCTATCCCCCAACCCGTTATATGGATTGTGACACGTTGTTTTCCGTTAGGCGAGTTTTAACACTTCAAGTTGTTTGCTCTTTAAGAAATTGGTTCTTGGTGTGTCTTCAGGCGAAAGTCGAAAAACTTATTTTGGTGGTATGGATCTAAGTCGCTCTTCAAAACAAGTTGTTCTTGGATTGAAGATGAGTCCGGAAATTGCGCGAATCTTAGTCAGCTGATGCGAGGCCTGCTTCAACTGAGCACTGGAGACTGACTTTGGGAAACCGGAGTCGGAACTTAACTCATTTCTGCTCGCTACGACTTTGCTTATATGGACGCCGACCAAAACCGATGTGGGTTTGTCGGCGTCGGAGGTTCCTCGATAATTCTAAATACATATCCACTTCTTTTATTTTTGGTTAGGAATTTTCCACTTCTTTCCATTTTGGGGAGCCTTCTCTTACTCCCACCTTCTCACCATACTTCAGAGGGGCGTCAACTGCCATCCCCACTTCTTCGTAGCAACCTCTCATACCCATCCTTTAGGTGGGCGGCGACAGCTTCCTCCTTGCGTCACGTGATCACCACTCGGCCAATGATGTCCAACCGGGCGTGTGCGATCCCGCGGGCTTTGTTTCAGGGGAAAAAAATATATCTTGCTTAAAAAAAAAAATTATCTTTTTCTTTTCCTTTTCTTTCTTTTAATCGCAGTTCTCATTTTCTCTGGCCGCCAATAGAACAATGCGACCGGTGGTGGTCATAACCCTTGTTCTCATCTGGACTTCGTCAGTCAGATTATCGCTAATTATCAAAATGGGTGGTCTACTCAACACAATACCGTCGTCCGTACCCTCAAAAAAAAACAGTTCCATGGTTCTAGTCATTCTTTGGTGCACCTTTCTGATAACATAGTTTTGTTATCACAGCCAAAGATGTCTTTGTAAAAAAAAAAGGTCAGCCGTTACTTCGTGTGCGGCTCAGCAGACGACACAGTTAATTTTTCATATCTATCCAAAGCCCTGTATTTCACCTGTTCTTTGTCAATTATCAAAATAACATTTTCAATTGGAGTTTTTCTTGGCTAGTCGGTCTGTGGTTTGCTAATTAGATGTTTTCCGCATTGAGCTGCTCTTATCTATCCCCCGATAACACAAGTTCGTCGACAGAACACAGTCGATTCCCCCCATCCACCTAGAATTTTTCTGCCATTGTAATGACACCTTTTTCGCCATTTGCTTTTCCTTTCTTTCCTTTCTCTTTTTCCTTTCTTTTCTTTTTGCCCTGGTAAATGGCGCCACACAATGTTTTAAAAATATGGGTATGGCTGCCACTCTAACATTGCATAGATTTTAAAATTCCTCACTAATAGTCTAGGATTCTTAAATATTTTCCTTTCTGACAAATCTACCATGGTGAGATTCGAACCCATGAGACCCGGGTTCGAATCTCACCATGGTCGATTTGTCAGTACGGAGACTTCTTGATGCTATCAGAATAGAGGGGTCGATCCCAGACAGATTTTTTTTTCTTTTTAGGCCTTTTACTATGAATGGTGAGTCTAACGACCTTTCCTTTCTATTCTTTCTTCAAACTCAACTTCTTATCTCTAACGGCCAGGGGACAAAGGGAAACTTACTGACTGACTGGAGTGGTTCTCTCCTTGGAGTGACTGCGAGTGTGAACCCTTATGTTTATATTATCTTTGTACACTGGAATTTTAACAAAGTCCTTTATTTCAAACAAGGAATATTCTCTTGATTTAAAAAAACTCCTTACCTCACGAGCTATGGCCACTAGATAATCCTCGCGAGCTCTGGCCACTAGGTAATACTCGCGAGCTCTGGCCACTAGATAATCGTCGCGAGCTCTGGCTACTAGATAATCCTCGCGAGCTCTGGCCACTAGATAATCGTCGCGAGCTGTGGCCACTAGATAAACCTCGCGAGCTTTGGCCACTAGATAATCCTCGCGAGCTCTGGCCACTAGATAAACCTCGTGAGCTGTGGCCACTAGATAATCGTCGCGAGCTCTGGCCACTAGATAATCCTCGCGAGCTGTGGCCACTAGATAATCCTCGCGAGCTCTGGCCACTAGATAATCCTCGCGAGCTCTGGCCACTAGATGATCCTCGCGACCTCTGGCCACTAGATAAACCTCGTGAGCTCTGGCCACTGGATAATCCTCGCGAGCTTTGGCCCCTAGATAATCCTCGCGAGCTCTGTCACTAGATAAATCCACTAATATATGTCTTTATCTTCGGTAATTCCAAGATTCTGTCACTTTCACAGCTTTTAAATCAGGAATACGGGTTTCAATTCTCACTAGTTCCAATCTCAAGATTTGATCAAACTTTTTCAGACATTCTAATTAATTGTTTCGTTTGGTTCCTTTTTCCATTATAGTTCTTTGCAATTTTTTATCCCTTTTAGTCGCTTTCATTTTATTAGTATAACTAGTTTATTCCCTTCGACCACTAAATATTATTCATACACTACTAAAATATTTGGCAAGGTGTTCGCTCTGTCAGAAAAATAACCAAACATCAGGATTTGGAGGGAGGAACTTCTTTGTTGGATTGAGAACGTTTAAACACGCCTTGAATTTTTTATGTCTTAATTTCATTTGATTTCTTTTTCTGTTATAGTTTTCTTAAATTCCCGTGTCCCCCTATACTCAATTTTATTTATTTAATATAAATAATTCATTTCCTCTAGCCATAAAATATTATTCACGCACTACTAAAATCTTGGATGAGATGGTCACAATATCACAATTGTCTTATATTTCTTTAAAATATGGATAAACATTTAAAAATTAGAAAAACATTAATTGAATAAAATAAATGCCAACTATTTAAAATATGCTATTAGTAGAACTGTAGTTTGAAAAAAAAAAAAGAAAAAAACTTATGCTATGGACGTCCGTACGTAAAAAGAATCTCGTGGGGAAGCCATATTGTTTTTATGCTGACAAATTAACGCAAAATCACGCCGACCACGAGATTTGAAAAAATATAAATATGCAGTGTACGAAAGACGGGGGGAAAAGTGGTAGTTAGTCTCCTAACGACCAGATAATACCACAAATACAACATCTACATTTTGTCACTCAGGATTAGCTCCTACTAAGGAATTTAGGCCAGTCTATAGAATTTAAACTACAAGAACAGTATCTTAGATTTTTTTTTTAAAAAAAACATTGAATTTGTGCGTTTGGTCATTTGCATATATTATGTAAACGCCATCTTTTAAATTAGGAATAGAGGTTTCAACTCTCAACAATTGCAATCTCAATGCCTTATCAAACATTTTTTTATGTTCTAATTACTCGTTTTGTTTGGTTTATTTTTCTGTTATATTTTTCTCAGTTTTCTGTATCCCTTTTAGTTACTTTTATTTATTTAGTATAACTAGTTCATTACCTCAAAAAATATTATCTACTACTAAAAATCTTAGGCGACTTGGTAACCCTTTCTTTTCATTTTCATAATTGCCTACACAATGGCGTCGCTCTTTTTCCTACACGTTGTGAGCGAATTTGCTACATTCACTTAATTGCTTCATGTTTTACTTCATTTTTTTTTATCTCTGCTGCTATAAAATGAGGAGTAGAAACTAGATTGTTTACGAAAAGCAGTCCAAATGAGATTTTAGATTAGATAACAGAACTATTTTCTTTAGTACTGGAAAAGTTCAGTAAACTCATTTAACAACTCCAATACAAACTGATCGCTGTATGTTTGAAAAGACAAGCTGTTTAAACAGTATATATTCAACGTGTTGTTATTACGTAATTTTTCTGCTTCGTATTTCCTTGTTTTTTGCTGTGTGTGTGTGTGTGTGTGTGTGTGTGTGTGTGTGTGTGTGTGTGTGTGTGTGTGTGTGTGTGTGTTTAGTAGTAGTAGTAAAACGTTTCAGTTGATCTCTAGTTTTACTTTCCACAAATAAAGTAGATTGGTAGACACTAACGAAAAAAAAAAGTCCCACATCACGTTTTATACTAATTGGAAAACTGATTGACTATAACGTTATGATAGCAACAAAAGCAAAAATATTGATTGAGCAACACTTTTACTGATAATAATTTATTTCTAAATATACGAGGTCTGAACTGAAAATATAAGGACATCTATCTGAATACCTCAAGAATCATTTGCTCGAACTTGATATATCTTGACAACCAATCCTTACTGCACATCAGTGAACAGACACTCTCCAGTGTGGTTATTCAACCGGCATCTAGATTCCAATAGAAATCTTGTTTTCTTATATTGTTTTATTAACGGCAAACTATGTTTTGCTTCTCACCTGGACAGCCGTTCGTGGAAATGATTCGAATGATTACAAAAGCTTTTGGGGATGATCTGATGAGAAACGTCCACAAGAAAAACTTGATTTGAAGCCGTTGACAGCGATTCGCAATGTAGAAAACTTTCAATTAGTGAAACACTCCAAATTTTTCAATTAGTGCGGAGTGCAGTCAAAGAAAACGGGCAATTAACAGTGCGAGAATTAGATCATCAGAGGATCCCACGGACTGTCCAGAAAGTATCCAACAGTTGTTTTTATATCTCGACTGCTCATTCTTCACGTCTTGTGCAAGGTGTTTAGAGAGAAAAAAAGCATCGTCTAACCCCTGCCTATCATCCCCCCACTATAGATCATATTTTTAGATTTGCCCAAATTTATAACCACCGTTGAAAAAAATGCTATTTTAAACCGTGGGTGAGATTAAAGAGAACGCGAATGGTAATCCCAAGCGAAGATTTTGAAGACTTTTGGGGAAGTGCAAGGAACGCTGAGATAAGTATGTGCTTTCCAGATGGGGACTATTAATGCGCTTTTTCTCTAGGCAGGACATCTTTTCATATTAAGTGTATTTAGCGAAATCATTTACGGATAGTTATTGTGTATTTACATAGGTACATAGATATAGATATATGGATATCATCTTAAATACTGCAAGCATTTGCGTGACACCTCACATATATACGAGGTGTTGCTGAAAACCTCTCTGCTCGAACACGAAGCTCTTCCATCGACAAGAAAAATCATTTAGTCACTGAATTTTGTTTTTTCGGGGTTAAGATGACCGTGTCGATGATTTTTCAGCACCCTTCATAAATGTAAAGTTTCTATTGTTAATCAATTTAATCTGATGACAATGGCGATTGTGACAAATGATTAATAACACTTCAGCGACCAATCGATCACTGTTCGATTATATGGCTATGGTTTTCTTCATTGATTGAAATTGCTGCTAATTCATTCCAACTGATGCCAAGTCCCATTACGAAGTGCATTCAATCTTTACTACTTTCCCTAAATACGTCAAATTATTACAATCTACCCAGAACGGACACGAATGGATTTCGTAATAAATTATACTAGAAATAAACATGGAAATTTCATGGGTTTTTTCAATTTCAATTTTCTAATGATTGAATAAGCTCATGGCGAATTCCATGAAAATAAAATATACGTAGAATTCTCCCTAACAAATTGTTAAATATTTCAGCTTAACAACAAAACAAAATATTACAATAACAATCATAAATGTAAATGCTGGTTGTTATTTTAAGAAGTAAGGGGGTACAAATGAAAAGATTTGAAATTGACGACTTTTTTCCATTTCAATAAAACAGCCGTTAACCACTTCTATCTTTCTGTCTTTCCTTCCTTCTTTCTTTCTTTCTTTCTTTCTTTCTTTCTTTCTTTCTTTTTCTTTCTTTCTTTCTTTCCTGAAACCGTCGTGTGTGTACTTTGTTTTCCTACTTTATCAAAACGGAATAGTCCATTATTTATGAGATATTGTCAGAAGACGTTAAATACTTCTATCTTCTCAACTCTTCTTTCTTTCTTTCATTTTCTCACTGAAACCAAGTAGTATATTCTCCCCTCTTTCCACGCGATCAAAATAGAATATTACTTTATTTATGTGGTATTGACAGGGCGTAACAGTCGTGCGAACCAACGAAAGGCAGAATAAGCACAATTATTATATGATTCTTGCGGGCCGGTACTTTTTTCAGCACCTCTTCGTCTATAAAAATTATTAATTTGCCCTCTCTCTTGCAGATTGAGTGACTATGAAGTATTATTTGGAGGTTTAAAGCTAGTTACTATTCAGAGTAACGAACAGTAAATGCCAGGCGCCCCAATTCAGTTGCCCGTAAACCGAAACATTCATGTTGTCTTATTGTTTTTAATAAGTGGAGGTTGTTTTCATGCATTCGGCTGTAATAGCAGGACGTGAGTTTTTTTTCGACGCAGTCAATTTGGAGGCATAATTGTATGATTAAAAATACAGCGAACAATGTTTGGAGAGCGAATTGCATTTGGCATAACAATGTTTTGGCTCATCCCTCTAGTAAATAATGTTCCGAATAATCGGAAGTAGTTTTCAAATAATAATAGATAGATATATAAGCCGGCATAGATAGATAGATAGATAGATAGATAGATAGATAGATAGATAGATATTTGATTCCTTAGATACGAAGGTAAATAGATGCGAGCATGTTGATATCAGCTATTAACGTAGATAAAATACAAGCAAAATGAGAAATAGAGAAAAGTGAAATATTAACTTTGTTAGATAGATAGATAGATAGATAGATAGATAGATAGATAGATAGATAGTAAAAGCAAAGATAGGCAGGTAGAAATTTGCATAGACGCTGGAAAATGAATATAAACAAAAGAGAGAAAAAACAGACCCATGATGAAACTGCCATTTACTCCCAACAGATAAAATCAATGAATGAAAGTGCGTCACTTATTTTCTTTTCCATTTTCTCATATGTAACTTATTGTCATTTTATCCCACGTAATGCAGCTCTACATAGATCTATGATTCTGAACTAAATACCAACCGCTTTACCTATATGCAAATTCACATTGCATAATTACAAAATTATATTCAGAATTTGCGTTATATATATATATATATATATATATATATAGTTAAACCTAGAGAGCCAGACAAACCTACCAAGGTTTCACCTAACCGGATCGTCAAGGAAGGCTGCCTTTTCTGACAATCTGCTTAGGTGAAACCTTGGTAGTTTTGTCTGGCTCTCTAGGTTTAACTTGGTCTGCTCTACTCATTGTATTGAGCACTTTATTTAGTTATTTTGCGTACTCGCATCGGGTTTTTTTCTTTGGGCCTTGAACTCGTATGCTGGACAATTATTTTTGGTTAACGTACATGTTCTTGGTTCTTTCTTTTTTTATACCTTTTTTCCCTTTGGTATTGGCTTGTTTATTTGCAAATCAAAATCGAAGGTTTTCCGAGCGAGTATAGTTTCTTATACTTATAAGATTTCTATTAATTTAAACAGCCGCTTTAGATTCTTTTCTTTCACCATACGGTCAGTTTTAGACCCACTGGAGTGACGGGGTATAATCGATTTCTATTTTTTCTTTAGATTAGGTTATTTCCAAAGGTCTGCAATAATATGAACCTCTTTTCGGGGTGTGTGATGAAATTCGTTTTGCCTTGAAAAATATAGCGTCATCCGTGATTGCATCACGCCCAAATACTATTGTCTCGACTGCCGATTAGTTGTCCTACGGCCATTGTCTGCAATGGACATTTCTCCAAGGAGGCATACGAAACTTGTAACACTGCATGAACACAATGGCAAGCCTTACCAGTGAGCAAATCAAAGTACTATAAACAAGCCCAGAAATTCTCCTAATTTAAATCCAGTCGAGAATCTGTGGTCAATCTGCAAGGAACGACTTTGTGGAATGGACATACAAAGTACTATTATGTGCACTTAGTCATGTTTTATTGTAAAAATACGAAAACAAAGTAAATAATAACCGTATTATTCGTTTTGTTTCAATTAATTTGCACAAGGGTGTGTGTATATATATATAGACACACACACACACACACACACACACACACAGAGATATATATATATATATATATATATATATATATATATATATATATATATATATATATATATATATATATATATATATATAATTTCAGTATATATTAATAAAAATACATATTATCCCTCACCGATAGACGACTCTGAGTTTCATGCACAACGGAATCTTCATGTATTGAAGACTA